TGTTTACCTGAGTGGTTGTAAAATGCTTTACCAGTAGGTGCTTATGAGTACTGTGAAAGTTGAATGTATTCAGCTATTAACTGAAAGATTGGAGGTTTGAGAACATTCTTAGATACCTAGGAAGAAAGGCCTGGTGATTATTTCCAATAAAACAGCTATTGAAAACCCTCCTTGTTGTGCACCATGGGGTCAGTGTGAACAGATGTTGACTTGATGATAACTGGTTTTACTGTCAGTGGGCAGCTCCCTCCTGGCTGTGTGGGACTGCTTGCCTTGGGCCCAGACCGTAAACTGCTCCCTGATTACCACTGTTGCTCGGAATTGGGCTCAGTTATGTGAGTCCAAACAGCCAATCAATAACTAGGGGAAATCCCTTTCACAGTATTTAGCTTTTGGAACCCTCCTGACTGGGTGAAGCCTTAGCTCCAAATTCCAGGAAAAGCCCTTCCCTTAATCACAGGAAATACATTCTCTGAAGACAGGATAATCTTACTGTTATCTTCCCCCATTTGTGAGAACTTTTCTTGGTTAGATGTTCAAGTTACCCTGGGGCTTTTAAGTTCTAGGATGTTCTTATATGATTTGTATGTAAAAGGAGAAAGGCAAATCCCAATGAAGCAGTATGTGATGAGATGTTGTTGTGTACTCTTGAGTCAGAAATGACTCATAGCTGACCGTCTAGCCAATATTAAGAGGCTGTACATTGCATGGGAAAAGATTGTCCGTCTTCCTCCTTCAGAGCAGCTGGTGAATTTGAACTACTGGCCTTTGAGTTGTCAGTGTTAACTCCTTACCACTAGGCAATGAGAACTCTCTGTGGGGAAGTGTATTGGCATGGTACAAATGAAAAAACCCTCAATATCATACATGCTTAATAAATGGTAGATTGTCTTCCCACTTTCTTGTTTCATACTTCTGAAGAGTGATACCATTATCTAATGAGCTAATATTAGATGGATCTTGGCTGAAAGCAGGGAGTACCAGAGGAATGTCTATCTGTGCTTCATTGACTATGTAAAGGCATTTGGCCGTGTGAATCATAACAAACTGTGGCTGACTCTGAGAAGAATGGCAGTGCCAGAACACTTGATCGTGCTAATGCGAAACCTATACTTGAACCAAGAGACAATCGTCAGGAAACACTGCATCGCTCAAAATTAGGAAGGGCGTACACCAGGGATTTATCCTCTCTCCATACCTTTTCAAC